CACAGTGAATAGTGATTCTATAGTTCCAGAATTTGTAAACTTATTTTCTTAAACTCTCATTAGTTTTTGAGAATAAATACTGAACAACATGAAACAAACTTTTGGAGTTTTTCAGTTTCCCATTAAGTTATTAGGTAGAACTTCTTTATGGCTTTTCCTTTGGTGTGATGCAATTACAAAGATTCAACTAGTTGTCATGTTAAGTTAATAATTTACGTTAAAAAAATTATTTAACTGATAAATGACTTGATAAAGTAAATAACTCTGAGTTTTTCTATTATTTCCAATAATTAGTTTTTGGAAATATTCTTATAGAAATCTTTACTACAGTTTGTAAGTGTCAAACATTTGAAAAATAGTGGAAGTGGAGCATTTTCTCAGATCACTTTTAATAAGCTCTAGAGCAAAATAATTGACAAGCCAGAAAAAGAAAGATCATATGGTAATAATTGATATTTTCAAATCTAAATGTTCTTGAAAGGTCAAAATAGTTGGGGAGGGAAAATCACTAAAAGAAAATAACTAGATAGTAAGCTCCCAGTCTTTACTAAGTTAGGTAGATGTTAACAAACAATGCTAATATTCCTCATATCTGTTCATATTGGTCATTAAAAGAGAAAATGAAATAGAATTGTTAAAATAAATACAAAAAGAAAAAAGAAACAGATCAAAAACAGTAATGTTTTATAAAATATTTCTATAAGAAAAAATATAATTGTTGAAAAGTAAAAAAGAATATTGAAAATTATGCACCATTTATTCCAACTTCTTTTCTAATATTCCTAAATTAGAATGTCCTCAAACATCCCTTCAAAAGTCAATTTTCACACAATGAATTTGCACATTCTTGTTGACACTAAATATATGAGGGTAAAATATTCACAAAGTAATTCACATCCATGTGTGCATTAAGTGGATATATTTGAAACACTCACACACACGCAAACTTATTACCAAGTGGGATGGGTTTATATATAATGGTGTTTTACTTTATAAAAATGTGTCAAAAACAAACTCTTGATGTTTGTTTGTTGTAGATTATGTTTGAAAAACTAAAGTGGATAGTCATTCTAAATGACAGTCTCTCTTCCTCTACATTACAAGTAAAGTTACAGAATAATATAAATTTTGGACAGGCCTGCAAAAGTAGGATTCTGTGATGATAATTGATACTTTCAAATTGAGTCATGGTGACAATAATATTATATGATTAAATGTTTATTTTATTAAATATATTTTGGTCTTCTCAGTGACTGCTATTGACCAAAGAGTCAATAAGCCATGCAGAAGTATGGTTTCATGACTAAAATTGCAGCCATTCTGATGAAATGTTTTCAAATATTTTAACTCTGAACTTAGAAGCAGAATGACTTTGAAATCCATAAAATCTACAGAGATCATTTTGAAATCTTAAACTCTCATTAATCCACAAAATAATGCACCATTACTGCAAGCACTATATTAAAAGAGATTTCATACTCTTTAATGTAGGAGAAAAATGTATTAAAGTTCAATATAAAGAATATATGTGAACGTTGGGATTGTTCTCTAAGGTGTTTGGAAATATGAAGTTGAAACCTGATTCAGCTCTTAACCGTCATAACAACTTCCAAACTTTCCATGGTGCTCTGTTACTTCTTTTTCGGTGAGTGGTTTGTTTTTGGAGTAATACTATGGAGATAGCTGCAATAGATATATTGATTTGGGTTTGCGAGTACCGTCTAATTCTGTCAATAGATAATACATACTAGTAATGTATTTTCCCAACTCTTGCCTCTTATTTTATGTTTTGTATATTTTTTCACTCCTATTTCTTTAATTATCATTTTTTTTTAATTATTTGCTTATTAGTTTTATTGATCTCTTGATTGTAAAGTTCATGTATTTGTGCTATTGTGAATAAAGCATATGATAGATATGTCACTTTTCATTGAAGGAGTTTGAGTTTCATGTTCGTGCCATACAAATTGATATCTGTAGCTTACCGAGTAGATGAGATTAGAAAAGCAAGAGCTATGCTGAAACAAATAAGAAGTTGCTGTATCCCTTGTTTTCTTAAGCAGTGATTTTACTTGTAAAGTGTTGCAAATACTTTGCATTTCCATGACCAATTAAATTATTGTGTGTTGACACCAAAAGTTAAGATTTCCGATCTGGAACTCTAAATGATTCTCTAATTGTGAACGCTAAAAGCAAGGATACTAGGAAATAATTCTTCATGTTGAATTTTAGAATTTCCTGAATTTGAATTTAGTTGCGAAATTATCAATTACAATTTTTGCAGTTATTAATTTCAAATTTTTAACAATATAAATCACCAAAAATGTTATCAATTAAAATATTAAAATTACTATTATTAACTCATTTACTGATTTGAGAATACAAATTTTAAAATGTACTAGTTAACTGAATAATGTCCAACAGATATTTTTAATTTTCTGAAAAATTGTTCACACGATGTTTCATTAACACGTATACATAAAGTTCATAAGGAACCTTTTAATGAAAATATTTGTTATAACCCAATTTCATTCTTTCCAAAATGTGGCATATCCATCATTAACCCTGCTTCTTCACCGTTCAAGTTCTCATGCAAAAATGTAATGCTAATTCATTCTCTTCCACCTACTTAATACAATACTTATTTCACTACTGCCTTGTATGCTAGGTCTTTGGTAACATTGCGCTGGATCCTGAAAGTTCCATCACTCGCCATAACAACTTTCGCAGCTTTGTGCAGGGTCTAATGCTGCTTTTCAGGCAAGTAGAACTTCTTTGCATTTCCTCTACTTTCTTTTTTTTCCCCATGTTATATTTGTGAACTGGTATGTGTTTCAAAATGAAAACACTAATTAGTTATAAATATTTAGAAGAGTATTGACTAATGCAAGGGTAAATGAAGAACCTTTTTTTTTTTATTGTGTCTCTTGTTTTCATTTTGAAACCTGCGTACAATGCAGATATTGCTTCATGCTCTGTATTTCTTGAGCCGCTATGAACAGTTGATTATCTCCTTTGCAAATTTGTTGATTGTTTATGTAAAATTTAAAAGATATTACCAAAAGAAACAAAGAAATTAGAATTTAACAATTTATGTCATATGTTTCCATTCAGCATGCTGTATTTATTTGATCCAAATGATAGTTTAGAAATTTTCTTATTTAATATTTTTTGTTTCTCAATTGTCATATAGGTTGATGATAATGAAATTGCATTAAGCAAGTGTTTTATAAATATCATCAAAAACTGTATTTTGTATAAATTGTGTTAAATGTTTTTTACTCAGTAGAATTGATTAGTCAGTGAAAACTTGTAAAATCTTCTTTTTTTCTTCCTTCTTCTTCTTTCTCTTCTTCTTTTTGTCCTTGTGTATTTCTTCTTCCTCCTCCTCTTTCTTTCCCCACCTCCTCCTCATCTTCTTCTTTCTCCAATTCTTCTTCCTCCCCCTCTTATTTTTCTTCTTCCTCCTCTTCTTGTTCTTTCTCCATCCCATTTTTCTTCCTCTTCTTCTTTCTCAACTTCTTCCTCCTCATCTTCTTCTTACCCCACTTCATTTTCTTCCTCTTCTTTGTCCTCTTCTTCTTTCTCTTCCTCTGTCTCTTCTTTTGTTTCTTTTTGTTCACAAAAGTTACATTAATGTACTGGCTTAAATCTTCACTGTGAATATATTAATTGCCAAGTAAATGTTCTCCAAAAATGGAAAGATAATGCTGAATTTTCAACCTTTTTTTTATGTCTAGAATTTTCCTCAGAAATGTTTTCTACAGTACAGAGTAGTATTCCACTCCTCAATTTAGTAATATTTAATTCTCATTTTTGCAACATGTCATTTTATCAATGTTTTCTAACAATATGAACTTTTAGTTCTGAAAACCGAGATGATTTTTATGGACAAGTATCCAGCTTGTATTCTTAAGACATAAAAAGGCATGCATTTTAAATTGAATCCCTCAAAAACAATAAAAAACTTTTGACCTAAATAATGTTGTATTTTGAACTTATGGAAGATTGCTAGTGTTCATATCTTTTGAAAATAATATTAATGAATGGTTAATTTTTTAAAAAATACATACAAAATTGAAATAGGATGAAGATAATAGAAAAAAATGCATAAACACATTTTCAGCAACCAATATTACTACACCAAGCACAATACTTTCACTATTCATCAAGGAAATGATCAGTTGCTTGTAATCTTTCTGCTAAGAGGTTCATACAGATTTGTATTTGTGTCAAAAATACATGACTCAGATTTTTGGTGATTGATTTACATAGCTACATGCAACTCACAAAAATTTGTTGAAAGATAAGAAATTACGATGTTGTGATTTATGAAGAGGCCAGGCATACATATAGGATTTTCAGGATCTAGGATGATTGTTTTAATTACTTTAACTTTTGGTGTCTAGAGCAGAATAGTGGGCTCTGATTGTTCTGAACCTGAAAAAAAGTGAAGAGTAGACTTATTGTAAAAAAATAACTTGATGAAATAACTCATAGCTTTTACAACTTCAGCCAATAATAAAACTAATGTTAATGAGAAAAATACTCTATTAATAATTAATTCAATATGGACAAATGTACAAATGTGACATGAATTGTTTTGAATTACAGTAAAAAAAATTAACCTTTACTATTTTGCATTACCTACTTAAATTACAATAATTTATTTGCTTAACAATGGATACTCCTTCTTACCAATTTACAAACCAGAATATGTACTGAGTCATAAGCTCAATGTCAAAAAAGTTAATTTGATAAGTGAATGGTCTTATTAATATTGATTTTTGATATTACTACCAGATTTTATAACTTTTCAAAAAACAATAATGAACTTCTCTTCTTGAAAGCAATAGAGGTATCAAATATTACAAGAAAAAAAGAGAGCTGAACCAAAAGATTTGATAATATAACGATAAATGCACATTATTGGATACGTGGATACAAATAAAATCATAATTCTTTGTTATATCGTACACAATTTAAAATTGTTTTCACAGGTGTGCGACAGGTGAAGCTTGGCCGTCCATTATGTTGTCATGCATCAGTGGCGCTCCTTGTGATGATTTAGTTAAAAAACCTGCTCAATGTGGTTCAAACCTGGCATATGCGTATTTTGTTTCCTTTATCTTCTTTTGTTCATTTTTGGTAAGTAATATGAATGTATTCATACATTATTTGTATTAAATTAATACTGAATAAGTATATCAACTTGATTTTTTTTGTTTGCTTGTAATTACTTCAAATGTGAAGTGATAATTGGAAGTTGTTAACTTTCCATATTTTCTAGTATTTTTCAATGTATTTAAAAGGTATAATTCAATTATAATTTAATGCAAAAGTTTTCCAATGTTATTATTTATTTTTGACTTAAATAATAAAATTATAAGAAAAATTATTTATAAATTTATATTAAATTATTAACGTTTTCTCTTTTCCAGATGTTAAATTTATTCGTTGCTGTCATTATGGATAATTTCGATTACTTAACAAGAGATTCATCAATATTAGGAGCTCATCATCTGGATGAATTTGTGCGAATTTGGGCTGAATATGATCCGAATGCTACGTAAGTTTTTTATCAATAATTAAACATCCAATTTTTGGTGATATATCATGTATTATACAGTACTTGTGTAGGTTTCTTTTACCTATATGAAATTTTTTTGTTTAGGGGTAAAATACATTACACAGAAATGTATGATATGCTTAAAAACATGGATCCACCTCTGGGATTCGGCAACAAATGTCCCAATCGGCTGGCCTATAAAAAGCTTATTCGTATGAACATGCCTGTTGATGATGATGGTAAAGTTAACTTCACAACAACCTTGTTTGCTCTTATCAGAGAGAACTTAAGCATCAAAGTTCGAAGTGGTAAGATGAAATTTATTTTCTTTCATATTGAAAATTATTGTATTGTTAATTATTGTACAGGTTAGTCAATTGAGAACTTTCAAATGTAATGTTTGTAATAAAATCAGGGAATGATATGAGGGCTAGTTCACAAGCAATTATGTTATCCCTTCCAACAAAGAATGTGGCAATGGAAATTTATTATCCTGTAGTTGAGGGTGCCTAAAATATGTCTGAGGGTTTGTATCAAATTGACCCAAAAACAAAAGTTAATGACAATCAAAGGATCCTTTAATAAAAATAATTTGATTGTTATGAAAATGCTCACCTTACAAATCTTTTTAAACACTTTCAAATCTTTTTAAACACCTTTTTCAATAACTGGAAAGGCATTTGGTATCAGGATCATAATACGTGCGAATTGTTAATATGTGCCAGATATTGCCAAAATATCATAAAGTTTAGTATATTTACAAAGTATGTCCAATCCTACATATTCCTCTATTTTTAAATAATATTAAACCTAGTAGTGCTACAAGGGCACATACTTTCTTACATTATTTCTAACTGCTTTGCTATATTATACTACTACATATATATTCAAAAGTGTTTTCAAACAGCAAAAATTATTTTCCACCATGACTCCAACTCAGGTTCTCTGAGTTAACTTGCCGTTAGCTGTACCACAATGCTGTAGAAATGCATAGTGGTACGGTTACTCTTAGTGTGAGATTCAAAATCAGGACAACGCTTTAAAACATAATTTCTCAACCCAATATTTCCATACAATTTCCAAAATTACAGAAAGATCATTGAAAATGGCACTAGCATCATATTTTTTAATGTCAATTGTTACATTCGAGAATAAAATTTAATGAAGTAATTTGGACCAGTTTTTGAGAAAATATATTCTTTTAGAAATTGCCTAAATTTCAGATGCAAAATCTACTCTTTTTTTTCCTTCAAAAAACTGTATATGCCCCTTTTTTAAGGAGCTGATTTTTTTCAACAGACTTAATCAAAGGAAAAAATCTCTATCTTTAATTTTGTAGCTTTGAAATGTTAACTTTTTGCACTCTTGAAAAAAAGGAAAGTTCAATGAAAATGGACCTAGCAACGTATTTTGTATCATCCCTTGATACATATGAAGAGAAAATAAAAAGAAAAGAATTAGAGTGGTGTTTGAGAAGAAAATTATTTCAACAAATTTTTATTGCCTATGTTACACCAAAAATTGCCAACTCTACATATTTTCCCAAAAAATTGAACATGATCTAACTGGAAGATCTGTCTTTAATGAACAGCTTTCATTAAGGAAAAAAAATCTCTTGCATATTCTAGTTGTAGCCCCCCAAAAAATTACACTTTTGCAATTATCAAAATATCAGGGATTTCAACAAGCATGAAACCTTCACCATTCTCTTAATTGTTGTTTATGCTATCCAAAGACAAACTTGGATAAAAAATGTGAAGCCGTTTTTGAGAAAATTTTGAAAATGGTTTTGAGTCTTCAAGTAAAGTACCCTCAAAAATCAAAATACCCATTTGAAACTTTCAAAGCCTGAAGTTCATTCAGATCAATTGGGGAATATTAACTTTGAGAAGATAAGCTGACGGCTTTTGGCACTAGCATTGACCACAGGGAGACTAATTTTTGCCGTCAATTGATTTTTTGGTATTAAGGACCCACGAAACATAGATTCTGGCTATGCTATATGTTAGAGGAAGTAATTTACTGCATACAAGTAGAGAAACAGGATATATCCTATTTTTTGTTACCAGGGTTACCTGGCAATGAGTTTTGCTGCCAAAAATTTGCTGTTTTCCAGTGCATGGCTACAATACTTTCTCTTCTTACAAAGTATGTGCAAGAAAGTTAAAAGAGTGTGTACTGAGATAAAACTAATGGGAAAGGTTTTCTAAGATTCCCTCCCTTACTATCAGCCATTATCTTACAATGTGTTGCAATATATTACAATATATTGTTACTTATGTGGTACTGTACCAAACTAAATCTTTTCTGTTGCCTACTGCTTACACAATGTAGACAAAGTATTGTAATACTGTGTGAAAAATACAGTTTTCAACAGAAAAATTTTGTATTACTGAGCCCTGGTAACGATAAAGTAATAAATCAGGTTCATGTAGGTATTACTTCAACTAACAAGTTATGTAGTCAGAATCCATGTTTGGTAGGTCCTTGATACCAAAACACAGACTGATGGCAAAATGTCTGCCCATCTGTTGGTCTGTGAACAATGCTCATTACATTTTCACAGGTTATATATGTTTTTGTATAAATTAATAAATAATAAAGTTGATTGTGAATATTTACTATCTAAATTACCTCGGGATATACTATCTAGACATATTCAAATATTTGTAATACCAATACCTAGAACTAATTAATTTCTTTTTATTCATCATTACATATGTGTTAAATTGTAAACAATTTTAATATGGATTATATACTACCGTTTACCGCTTTTATAAACTTTTAAAAATCTAACATACTACAAGTTTTTAATTAACCTAGCATATTTTTGTAAGTGCATATAACATTTGTTATTTTCAATTATACTTTTGTAAATTATCGAATGTATCCATTTATCAAACTGTATAAACTTGTTGTAAATTGAGCGATTGCCTATTAAATACATAAATAAATGCTAACAACTAAACTGTTCAAAGGATTTTCACCAAAAATGGATATTTCTCAGTTAATCTGGCAGACATCACGATCCCTTGAATTTGAAATTGATTTTTGTGAGGGTTCTTTACAAGAAACCTCAAGGACAATTTCAAATTCTTTGCAAAAATGGCTCCAAATATCCTGATTTAATTTTGTCCTCAGATAGGGTAAAGAACACACAAAAACATGGTGTATATATTTAAATTTTTGGTAAAACATGGTAGAAATATTTAAATTTACAAAAATTGTAAAAGTTCAAAATTTTTGGTGTCTCTTTCTACAACTACAATAATGAAAATATAGATTTTTTTTATGACTACAATGTTTTCTTTGAAAATATATCTTTAAATGAGGTGTTTATAGTGCTACCTGCACTAAATTACATGACATATACGCCATTTTCATGTACTCTTTTGATTTAAAATTACAGAAAGATAGTTTTTTAAATATCTCTCATGCCATTTATTTTTACATTACAGGCATTTTCTATATATAATTGCATTTGTGATTATAAGTATTTCACTTGATTTCTTATGAACTTCTACTTAAAACTCTGTGAATATGAGCTCAATGTTTTCACAAACAATCAAACAACATTTTTCAAGAACAGCTCAAAGTTTTTCAGTTAAAATTGGCACACAGGAATATATTTTACTCTTCTTTATTATACTTAAAGACATATTTCACTTGTACTATTAGGGGAGCAGCTGGGTGAGGGAGGTGGCAATACCAAAAAGCTAGTGTAGACTAAAGAGAAAGAACTACTAGAAAACTAAGTAGTGCAAGAAAATATGTGGCATCAGTAGTTCATATTCTGATAACTTTATGAACTGAGGTTAAGTTAAGATTTTCCTCAGTTTCCATTATGTTACAATGAACTTGGAAGTTATCTGATACCATACCGATGAAATTTTTCAAGTGCTAATTCACATACATCTGATGGAGGAATTCAGTTGAATGTAACACATATTTTCTAAATTATATTGAATAAACCTTGCTTCATCATGTTAAAAAAATATAACACATTTAGTATGATTTATGAATTGACACTCGATTGTGGACGTGAAATTATCTTAATAACTATTTTTGTTAATGTAGCAGACATGTAAATAAAAATCATATAAACATTTTTCAGCTGATGAAATGGATCAAGCAGATGAAGAATTGCGAGAAACTGTACAGAACATCTGGCCATTACAAGCAAAAAAGCTGCTTGATCTTTTAATACCAAGAAATGAGGGTATGATTTTTCTCATTTATTTAAGGAAGTTATTTGTAGTTTTAACATTTTTTATTTTGTTGTACAGAGAATGTTATGTCATGCTGCAAAAAATTGATGTTGAGATTTTGATGGGAAGGATCCCTGGTACCTCAAAAGCGATTCTTTCAATAAAGCAGTCTGTCTGCTTGTAAACAGCATTAGCACTTAAACTCAGGGTTTTCCCCAAAATTAATATTCCTTGATTCATCTCAGAGACTTGCCTCTCAATGCTTGCTGAATTTGAAACAGCTATTTTAATTTTTGGAAGTATTTCGTATAAGGCTTGTAGGATCACTTAATTTTTGTGAAAAACGATTCCAAATTTTTGGTTTTCAGTTTTTCTCAAATAGAGAACAATATACTTATAAATGTGGTTAAAGTTTTGTTTTTATTAATACCTCTGAATTTTCAAAATTACCAATGGTAAACTTTTTTCAAATCTGCTTTACACCTTCATTATGGCAGTAAAAGATTTCTTAACCCACTCTGTTCTTAAATATTATATTTCAATCAAAATTGTTTTTCTGTAATTTTGAGTTTTTTAGTTTTTATTAAAAACAGCTCAAAATATTTTCTTTAAAATGTTTGTAAGGATAATTCGCAATGAATTTTATGTTTAAGAGAGTGTTTGTTTATGGTTAAGATATTTTATGCACAAGAAATGTTATGGTTAAGAGTTAACAGCAAAACTTTTGAATTCTCAAAATTTGAAGATGTGTATTATTTTCTGAATCTATTAAGTTTCATTGAATGAAGGAAGTTTTTCAAGAGATAGCAGAAATAATATTAGGATATTACAAATTGCCGTATTATAATGTTACAAATAAGAGAAAGTGGGTGCTGTTTTAGCACTTCTAATTTATTGAATAACATCACTGTAAAATATGTGATTATTTCTTAATGAATTATGTCTCCATTTTACAAATCTAGTGAAAATAATTTTGTACTTTCATTTATCAAAATTATTGGTATCTCCATAAAATATTTACTGATCTTGTAGAGCTGGGGAAAGGCAAACTCACTGTGGGTAAGATCTACGCTGGACTTCTTATTTTGGAGAGTTGGCGAACAACAAGATTTGGCCAGATTAAATCTACTGGTGCTCCGGTGAGTTATGACTGATAAAATACATTTTATTTGAAGACTATCATATATTAGTGATAAAAATATTACTTGTTGTGAGAGGCAGTAAAATACATTAAGGCAAATAATTTAATTAATTCATTACGGCCAAGTTATCATATTTCTTCCACAGTTCATTCTCATTGCATTGCACATGTTTGTTTTTTGAAAATATTCATTGTATCTTCCATCCATTTGTAGATTTAATGAGAATTAATTTTTAATAACTGATGTAGACAATGTGTATCAATGTATGGTTTCTAGTTACAAGACACAATATTGAATCTTGATACAATTTACAGTTTTTGTTAACATCTGTGTATAAATTTTAAAATGTAAGGTCGTTATTTCTTTTCACTTTTTTCATCAAAACACATTTACATACTTCATTTACATAACGACTAAATAATATCAGAATGATTCAGTTAGTCATATTCCATTCTGTTTTATTATTTGCGTGTTCATATGTGACTTATGTTTGAAAATGACTGTGTGATGTGTTTTACGTTGTGCTTATTATTTTTGATGAAATATTTTGCTTTGTTATTTGTATATTGTTAATTCATAGTTCACATTAATGATGCAGCATATGTGTATTAAATGAAATTTAATTAATACCTACTCTTCTTATTTGGCTAAATAATTACATTACTCTTGTTATTTTGAAAGGATTAAAAGAATGTGCTTATACTTAATATATGAAGGATCTTGTTACAGATAACAGTATTCAGTGCAGATCCATCCCATTCTAAAGTGTGTTGATCCTTTTAAGGTACTAATAATTATTTGTTTGTTTATTTATTTACCTATTACTTACATTTTAGTTTACCTTTATGACCATGTTTTTCCAATATTTTTAGTTTGTTTTTGCACTTATTTTGTGGTTGTTACCCTTGCTGGTTGTTTCCCCAGTTGTTCTTTAGCTTTTAATTTTCAAAATTTACTTCTCTCATTCATATCAACCTTTATCTATAATATCAATTTCATTTACTTCAAAAGCTAAATTTCTTAAAGTTCTTTTAGAAATTTTACCTGCAAAATTGATGTCATGATATTCAGAGTAAAAGACATTTATATCAAAATGTAATGAAAAAGTAGATATTGAAACCATTTTCCTTAAAACTGTTGCACAAAACCAATAAACAGATTGATTTCAATCAATATATCATTTGATTCTTTTATTACTGGAGTATATCATTGTACTTACTTCACCTTGATGCAGATTTGTTTTTAAGTAATATCTGAATCTGAAGTTGTTTTTTTTTACTTCATTAGGTTTGATAATACTTTTTTTTATAAGTTCATTATTCAATAGTATTCCTAATATTCTTAAGCAGAGAAAATATGTGATAGTTAGCTTAACAATATATACGATATAAGCAAGTACCTTTCATTAATTCCAAGACCATTCATTCATGTGATAGATTGAAGCAAGAACATATCTTCCAAATCATCAAATTAATCTATCAACTAAATATAAATAAAACTGGTATTTCTTGGGAGTTATGCATTTTTCAATAAATCATGTGAGGATGCAGATTATTCATTACTTAGCCCAAAAAGTGTTTAAAATGTGGGGCTTCTTTTCAGAGATATCTGATGTGATAACATTGTATTCCTTACATGTAAGAAGTCGTAGCAGCCATGAAACTTCCTAGGATTGTTAACTTCCATAATAATTATGCAGACCACAACCTACTTATAGGTACTCACAATTATCACTCACAAGTTTTTTACGATTATCCATTTTAATATTTTTTTAGTCAGTGAAATAATGAGAAAACTAGTCCCTCATTCTATTACATTTCACCCTGAATGCTTTTAATATTTTGAACTTGAAAAGATCCTTATCATAGTTAGTTGTTAAAGTTTTGTATGTTAAATTGTTTCTATAAATTTACGAAAGAGAAATAAATGAAAGTATTTTTAGAAATAATCATTTAATAAAGAATAAAGCATGTGAAACTATCTTGTTTCACACAAAAAAAATCAGGCCAGATGCTTGTTTTCTTTTTATTATATTAGAATGATATTTTATTTTAGATGTTAGAAGGATCAATTGTAAAGAGCGCAGATAAAAAATTATTTATAATGAAATGTCTTAGTAATGATCTCCTCATCATAAGAAATATTACAATTGAAATTATAGTTTACAGTTGTCATCCCAAAATTTCATTGAACAAAAAGATATTATTTTCAAAACTGAATTCACATATACACACAAGAAAGGTTCTTCTGTGTATGGTTGAAAAATTAGAGATAATGAATCCCTTTTCTTCTGTTTTTTGTTTTGATGCTTCCAGAAGGATTATTATGGCAAATAATTGTATTTGTGTTACATTTGCCATTTTACATAATTTTCAGAATACAATGACATGAAATCCATTAACTACTACAAAATCATGTGCCTAAATCATCTTTCAAAAGTAGTTTCAGCATTTTGTCATTTTAAAACTACTCATTTCCATCTTTTCTCTAAAAACTGAAAGAGAAATGATTGAAATGCCTTGTTTCTTTTGCAATCCAACTGTCACACAGGTTCAGGTGCTTGTTTTTGGGACCTGAAGTGTTTGCATTTATCTAAAATTCTGTTCATGTATCTTACATATTAAACTTTGTAATCTATTCTCTGAAATTCAAAATTATATATTGAAGAAATAGTCAGCCAGCCTATTCAATCAAATATTGAATGTAAACTAATTTGAAAAATGTTGACTCAGTGATATTACATTCTTTGATTAATAATAATTGTTACACACTGATGATGGTCACATCATGTCAGTTGTAATGTTGGCAACATTACCTTGTATCTGGTGTCTCTTGGACTGCCCAGTTCAAATGTTTTCTGGCAACAGTCACCTTTGTCAACTTTTGGTTGATAGAATTTATTAATATCCATGCATTCTGAAATCAGAACCCTGAAACCATTCTGAATTTTTTAATTATTCTTATACATATAAAACAAATATTTTGCATGATTGTTGTATTTTCATATTATTCTCAAATTCTGAATGTGCCCAATCTTTTTACTCCATTATAACATGGAACATTCTTACCAAGATATCCACTATTTTCATTATCAAACTACATCTTTGTTCTTCTGTGCTTCTAGAATGTCTGTCTGTTATTACCATTAACATACTACTTTGAATTTCTTGGCCCCAACCCTACTCTAAAGAACACTTTTTCTTTAAATGTAAATTTCATGTTCTATAAATAAGCTGTATTAATTAGTGTATTTTGACTGCCATATTTGGTCAAATGTGTTTTCACTTTTCTAACTCTCATTTTCTTAATTAGCTTTCATGTTATAATTTCTTATTTGGATGATAAGGATCGTCACTACCTTCCTGTAACTATTCAATTTCAAGGATTATTAATTTGTTGGTCAATAAGATTATAGTCTCATTGCAAAATAATTCATTTTTATAAAAATTAATTTTTTTTAGTGGACTTTTAAATTTTGTGTGGTATTGTGTTTTAGAATTCAGTGTTCAGAAAATAGATTTTTGTACCAATCTAACAAGGATTTTACATACTTATAATGCAACTTAATAACCCTGGTGATAGTAGATTAGCTTAAATAAACAATATTACAAGCTGTATTAATTTCTCTATTTTTCCCTAAAAAACAAAAAGACTAGAATGTTCTTAAAAAGACAAAACGTCTAATGATAAAGTAATTTTATTAGATTTCAGAATTTTTCACTGCCTGATTTTTATTTTAATTTGTTGTAAACATATTAAGAATTCTTTCTATATTTTAAAGAATCTAATTGTAGAAAAAATGGTGTTATTCATGCATTTTACATTTTAATTTTGTTTAATTCATGATAAAATATTAGATTGCTTTTATTTCCAAATTTCTCTGTAATAGTGTTAAATCGAAGGTATAGAAAATTAGTTGTAACAAATAAATTAGTTTACACATTTATATCATAATTTTTACTGAATGTTACATATGCAGTGAGGTAGAAATTTCAGCAGGTTTAATTTCATAATTTTACTAACAAATAACCAATTTATTTTCTAATTCTTTGAAATTTGATGTATATTATAATGATTCATTCCCAATGTTCAGTTGGTACTGTGATTTCATTAACATTGTAACAAATCTTCTTTTTATTACTTTTTATACCAATTTTTTAATGTGAATGATCTTATTTTTTCATGTTCTTTCTCCCTTGAAACATCCTTTCCTATTCTATGCCCAGGACCTGCACTTTGCTGTAAAATTTGAACTGTACATGTCTTTACTATTTCCTGTGATATCAAGGCCAAATAAAAATTTGTACAAGGTTTTGGAATATTACCTTTAGAAGAAATATTCTAAAATTAGTAAAGCACACATATATGCTGGACATGTTATGGCAGGACTTTGTGTTTATGTATTGATGTCAATGTGTGTTAGTTCAGAAGATAAGTGTGTAGAGACTAGTGGTAGATGGAGAGAAAGAACACACACAGAAGACCAGCTGATTTTTAAAGCGCAAGATTGTGCATTACTAATTGTGAATTTGTAATGTTAAGTTAGTAATTGCTGTGTGTTGCTAAATTTATGTGTATGTAATTAAACCCTTTTATGCCTGATAATATACAAGGTATTTTATCTTTTTCCATATCAAAATGAAAATTATTGATTATATTATAATTCCATTCTCCAATTGCAAAAATTCATTATGAATTCACAATAAAAGTATTGCTAAAAATTTAGCTGAAATGAATGTGATGTGTTGCTTTCTTCAAGGTTGCAGCACTTATAGATAGTGTAGATTATTCATGTCATGTCAAGTCAAATCAACCATGGCTGACTTATCCCTGCCTCGTAATTGATGAAATGCTTGTTAATATCACTGGACTTTAGGTGGAATAATTGCTCATCAAAAGGTTATGTATTTTTGTTCTTGTTTATATCATTGTTTAATTTATTGATGGATGTTCTAAATGTTTTTATTAGCCATTCACTGCATGTATTTTTGGTTCTTCCTTAAAGAGATAGAAAATATTTTACATTTGATTTATTATTATTCCAGAGTTTGCATTTGGTGTTTAGTCCTTTCAGCCATGGTGTATTTGACCATAATTCAAAGTTAGAGATCCAATAATATATGTGTTTGGTTTCAGGGGTTTGGTGGTCATAGTCCCTCCAATAATGAGGCGGTAGTATTCTTTAAATAGACATTTCTTATTCCAGTTTCTTGTAGAGAACACATTAAAATTTTCCATTATTTGCTATTTCTTATTCTTATTCTCTTAGCTTATATTCATTAAATTCTTTGAGATCTGTATGAACAAATGACTAGAAATATCTACAGCACCTGTACCATATGTGAAGAGAACATACAAATTATAGTTTCAAATTTGTAATGCATTATAAATGCTGTTATTTTATTATTAAAATAGAATAATTGAAATTTATTTTGGACAAAAGATATTCAATGAGGAGTACAACTTTCAGAGCATCTGTACTTATTGAAGATACACAATTACACTGAGCTAACGTCTAGGAGGCTTACCAATTATTGGGTATGAAGTTACCAAACATTCAACACTAATCTCTTAAACTCTTAGTGTTCATAAATATTATAAATAGAAATAGTTGTATCAGATTAATTGATTTATAAAACCAGAAATGTAGGGAAAGAAATACTAATTAATCACAATGATTTTAGATTTAATTAGATTTATTTTTTATATTTGACAATTACATTAAATGATTCTGATACATCTTGAGAACAGGTTTTAGAAAATAAAGATTTCTTACTCATCATTAAATTGTACTATGTAAGTGAATGATGTGAATTGCATATCAAATTTATTTACTTTGAATTTAAAAATCATTTACCAATAGTTATGTAGGAAACCATTGTAGGAAAACATTGCCTAGCTACTGAAGAAGTTGCACAGTTCAAATATTGTTAAAGTGACTGTAGCATATTTATTCAATTTTTTTTTTGTTTTGTTTGGTCATAATATTTTCATTTAAGCAGAATGGAAATGTTGAGGTTATTGAAAGAATTTTTAAAAATAAATTTGCTTATACTATGTAATTTATTATTTTCTTTTACATGTGATTCTTTTTTAACCCAACCCTCTACTGCTCTGTGACTATTGTAAGTCCAGTAATGGATTATGGGCAATATTTGAAGTGCACATTGAGTCATGTCTCTAAATTTCTATCATGATCTAAATTGGCCTATATTAGTTTTATAGTTCCACTCCATACTCATATAATACTCGGTAATCATAATAATGTTGAAATCTTCACCAAGAATCAGTCTCAAAATTAAATGAATGATTGTAAAGAGTACACACAAGAACATAGACAATGCTATATTGCATTACATAAAAGTTCAATTAAAATGTTATGCAGCTTTCATGGTTAGGAAAACTTTTGAACTTAAAAGTGGCCTAAAGGTGATGCAGTTTGCGGAAACACGGTTTGAGAAGTGTAGGAAAAACAAAGTTAGTTGAGAGTTATTGAAATAGCATAATTTTGTCAAAGTTTAAACAAATGTGATTTGACAATGAAAGAAGAATTTTTTTTATTTTAAAAAAGTTCTAAGTAATATGAAGAGTAATTGATCTTAATACATTGATTTAGTGTATTGTATGTTCTTTACACATTGGAACAGTATAATGTGGAAAAACTTGATTGTTTGATATAGGTCTCACAATAAGCAATAACCACCATCTTCTGCCTCATTGTCACCCTTATATTTACCATTCTATGATATCTCATTCATGGTTCCTTCTCAAGACAGTTATCACACAACACCATATTTGTTGGTTAGTGCTTGTAGTGAATTCTTATGTCCATTGTTATATTGCTGTATCTTTGGATGGATGAACATTTACTGTGACACATTTGAGAAAGTAAAGCAGTTGGCATGTATTATTTGTGTTCATTTTTCCAGAGATGCAGTGTTTTTTTCTCTTTTTGTGGTCTAGAATGCAGACTGGCCAAGCACCAATAGTTTTAATTCACTATTTCTATTTCTTAGCTGCATGACAAATGAGTGAGCATGTCATTTTGAATGTAGTAATTGCTGTGTTGTGGTTATCATGCTCAATACAACCTAAGTCACTCAGCTGTTTCACCTTGCATGGCAACTATATAGAATAAATATAAGAAGCATAGTGTTCTAGTATATAAAACATAGTTTTAATGGATATTTCAACTTTATTTTGTCACAGTGTTTGCAGCATGTTTTTATTTCTGTTGTATTGAGCTATGTAACCTAATTTTCAATGATTATATATTTTCTTCAAGAAAGAATTTAACTTGCTATTTATGATGTACTGACATTTTTATCTTATTATTTTGATCACCAACATGAATTGCTTATTATGCATTTAGAGAGAAATAGTAATTAAAAACTTTCCGAATCACAAAGAAAGCAGCAGGTGGAACATCGAGAACAAGATCAGTATATAAAAAGGAATTCATATTATTCGGGAAGAAATCACTTACAGAATTCTGACTTGATTGTTTAATTTACATCATACACTTGTAATGTGTGTACGTATATTGTTTTCTTTATAGGAATGCATAACATGTGAAGTTGTGGATAAGTTATTTTTATAACAATAGTCATTATCAATAGACATTCTTGTGAATACACAGCTCTTAAAGGATTATTTGGTGTATGGTAATGTTAGTTACGTAGAATAAGTTGATCGATATAGAAATAGAATTAATCATACTAGTTTTTATTAGCATTTTGTATGTTCATGTAAATCTTAATATGTTTTAGCTCATTCAGCATTTATGATTAGTTTTAGACTAGTTCCTATTGTGTAGAAATACCCTTTTCTAGGAGAGCTTTCAGTGTTTTCATTTCTTTTATCTAAGGATCTGATGTGTGTGAATTTATTGCAAGAAGAATGTGTGGGCACATCTTGTTTCCTCTTTCATTCACTTTAGGTGATACTTTGTAATTGAAGGAATCCCATAATTTATTTCAATGAAATTAAAATTTAAACTACAAGTTTGAACACATTAGGCAAAAACTGAATTTAAAACTTTTGACTTTCCTTCAGTTACATTGCAATTCTTCTTTGCATACATGCATATGTATGTTTCATGCCAATGTGACTAATATACATAAAACAAAATGTTTGTTTATTGGCCAAAGATGATGTTTGCAAGAAGCAAATTTGTTCACTTTATATGAATGTTACAGGACTTTTATACTTTGTAATCAAGCCTCTCATTTCCTTGGATGTAGTAACATCTTAAATTTTCTTCAAAATCAGAAAATCTCTTAGTAAAGTTATTTTATTAGTACAGTCAATTATTAAACAAATATTATCTCTGAGAATATTAATAATGTATTAGTATTCCAGTTTATCTTTTACATTCTCCTCTTTCTTGGGTGGTGACTGCTTAGTTATTTATATATTAGATTATGCACGCAAGGGAGGGTTGTGCCTTGTTGTTCAGAGCGAAGTTCTAGCAGCAGACTGGGCTGTAACCATGTGGAGTTGTTCTGTGGGCAGCGGTCCTCATTTTTTAACTGCCTACTGGACATGGCGGGCCAATGGACTGGTCATGGCAGCGGAGGTTCAGCTCCTCACGGCCCAGGTGTATCACGAACGGGTAGCCTTGATCCTGATATGGTGGATGAAACATCAGGCTTGCTGGTACAGGAAGGCAGCCAGCGATTGAGCTTCAGGTAAGAGAAAATCCAGATACTGAAATTACAAAAGACATTTGGAAAAGCATTTCAATACCCTACTGACTTTAATGAATCTCTTAAGAGTTAATCTTTGATTACTTATTCAAAGGTGATTGTTTTGAGCCACTGTAGATGTTTGGTAAGTGTTAACTGTGTCTCTGTTTCAATTGCGGAAAATTTTGAAAACAAATAGATATCCTTTCAAGTAAGTTTCATGATAGCTTGTGAAAACATAAGTTCAATTCTTTGAAAATGTTTGAAATTTAATTTCATAGAGAGAAGAAAACTCCTGCTTTGAAAAAATGGCACAAATATGATAAGTACCATACCATTCATATGAAAAGTACATTAAATTCTTAAAATTATTCTTATGTTTCAATACAAATTCGTAAGACTTGCATTATAAAAATATCTTGAGTAATTTGTGTTGTGCCAAAAAAATGTGAAAAAATAGAACATGGCCAGTGTAGCCAGGGGGTAACATTGGAATTTTAAAATTTGTTTTTAAATTGAATAATTTTAATGTAGATTTTTTTAAATATATCTTATTTGACATAATTCTAATCAAGTGGGAAATCCCCATTACAGGACTATACACAACTTAAATCCAATAAGATCATTGCCTACACAAATATTGAAATATAGTTTGGGTGAAACTGTCTAAACCGGAACCTGTCTAAACCAGCAACTTGCCTTAGCTGGAAAATATCTCTGGCCTTTGAAGTTAAATGGTATTTAACACAGGAACAGAACTTGTCCTACAGGGGAGATTATAAAACAGAATTACTGTAAAAGTAATGCATTTGGCACAAAAAAAAAAAAATATTTTTAATGAAATGAATACAAGTCTGTTTTAAATTCTCTATCCTAGTGACATGTGATTTAGTCATGGCAGATGCACATTGAAGGAGAGGAGCTTCTGTTAGCATAGAATTCCACTTTTGGATTGCTTTTCTCTCAAGGCATAGGCAATAGGAGTATTCCCTCCCTTCTGACCGTCTCAGTGTTGGAAGATGTATGAGCATGGCTTTTACTCATGCATCTCAGTGCCCCGCATTGAAAACCACAACACATTGATCAGAGATGCATTTTTTAATGTCATGTGAGGGGTATCTGTAAGTGTTAGTAGCTGAGATGTTTTGTGCATTGAAAGAGTAAGCAAGCATTCCAATTGAACCAAACTAAGCAGTGCGATGGTGTGTATTTTTATGAATTTCACTACTAGTTGAACAATTTGTTGGAAAAGCCATAAAACTTGAACCTTAAATGAAAAGATCAAACTTATAGAAGGAGGTGAAACTCAGAAGCTGTCAATGAAGAATGGTTGTCAATGAAGTAATTGAGATAATTAGAATAAATGTCGGTCCTTTATATCAAATTGAATTTCTTTAATATAAGTATTACAGTAACACAGACTACATTAGTTAGTTAATTGAAATGTTTCTAAATATTGTGTTCTACAATAGTTTTAGTAGTGTGTGTTCTTAAAATCTAGAGGAGCTTTTGGATGTTATTGCCATGATAACTAATTTTGTTGAACACCTTTCAGATGTATGGAAATGATTAAATGAATTAATTACACATCTCTCTCTCTCTCTCTCTCTCTCTCTCTCTCTCTCTCTCTCTCTCTCTCTCTCTTTTTTTTTTTATGTACAAAATTACACGTCTTAAAACTCCGCAGGGGTCGCGTAAGAGAACTAGGACTCAGAATGTTACTATTCCATCTACAGTATTGTTTGAGAATGTTGCATACCCATTTGATTTTCAGTACCTTCCCCCAAATCATTTATATACATAACCCATTACTCATCATATAATTGCAGGCTATTAATTCTCAGAAATTATTTTTATATTGTGAATGTCTCTGAAGGTGAAAACTCCTGTGCACTCTCCTATTTTGAACCGCATTGAAAAGCAGAGCTAGCCAGTGCATCACCTATGTTACCTTGTAATAACCTCCATTTTTTGTAACAAAATCCAAACAGGCATGACTTCAGGAGGACAAAACATTATTGATACATTGTCCATAAATTGCCAGAAACAAGAATTAAAGATGGAAATTTGCATTGTGTTCATGTAGGAGTCCTTGAATTTGAAAAGAACAAGAAAAGAGTAGTATGCAAATCTCATTCATTGTTTGTCGTAAAGATTGCATGTAAAAAGTATTACTGAACTTATCACATATTCTCAAATTACAACTAATCATGAATTAATGTTTCTTCTGCATTATATGAAAGAAAAAATTATGATCTGATGCATCAACAAGTTTGATGAATTTTATGTTTGTGTTAATAATTTTCAATCAAAAAAGTAATTAACAAGTGAAGTTAAGGATGTAACTTAAATACCAAATTATAGTAGTTCATTATATTAAAAACAACCCTGGAGTTTCTCTGGGATCACTTTTCTTCCAGGTGACCATATGCATTTGTAGGCAAGACATGATCTCTCCCAGATTGAATGCAAATCTACAAACCATTTATTTGCATCATGTCAGTATATTTAATAAATGTAAGCTGAAATTTCCAAGTTAAAAGAAATTTCTCATTTTTGATGCTTTTAAATTCCTTAATACGTTGAAAAGAAAATCAGATTTGCCAGTTCTAAACTTCTGATAGTTTACGTTAAATTATAAAACTTGAAAAATACAATTGGAAACACATTCTTCTCTTTATTGAAAATTAACTTTGTCATCATCAACTTCATGGATTAAATGGAGTGCTTTGTTCCAGATTCAAGTATTTTATGATTCTGGATTTAGAATAATAATAGACAATAATAATAATAATAATAATAATAATAATAATAATAATAATAATAATAATAATAATAATACTCAATACATCAATAATAATTAATCAATAATAATATAAAATAATAAAATAATAATAATAATAATATAATACATAATAATAATAATAATAATAATAATAAATAATAATAATAATAATAATAATAATAAAATAATAATACTAATAATAATAGATAATATAATCATAATAATAATAATATCATAATAATAATAATAATAATAATAAATATATATAATAATAATAAATAATAATAATAATCAATAATAATAATAAATAATAATAATAATAATAATAATAATAATAATATAATAATAATAATAAAATAATATAATAATTAATATTAATAATAATAATAATCATAATTAATAATAAATAATAAAATATAATAATAATAATAATCATAATAATAATAATAATTAATATATAATAATATAATAATAATAATAATAATAATAATAATAATATCCATCAATGAATAAATTTGTAATTTTGTTAATTTGTAATTTTTTTATTAGCTTCTTTAGTTTAGGGTGCAGATAAGTCAGAGACTTTCATCTGGTTCCGCGTAAAAATTATCATATATGCAAACAATTTTGTCATATTTAAAACATTTTAACAATAATTAATATAATTATTAAATTATGCATGTATTATAAAATTTTTACACGTTTTTATATTGCTAATTTTAATAGATGAAACTTCCAACATAGTTTATTTGTATATTGACAACAAAAACAACTCTAAGAACTAACACTAGTCTCAATCACAGGAACATTTTTGCCAATAAAAAAACAGTAAAAGGAAAAAACTCTTAACACCCAAATTAAATCATAGGCTGCAAATAAAAAACCTGCGGTGTGACACCAACAACAGTGTATACATAAGACACTTTGTCATAAAAGAAAGAGAACTAGCTTGAATCAGCTCATAAAAAAATTATTTAGGTGTTAGGTACATTAAACACATACGAACACTCATTTTATTACTTCTGTGAATTAAAAAGATATTTAGATTTTTTTACAACAGAAATAGTTCTAGTTGTGTACCACAACTAGTATACGATAAATATTTATTTGTTTATGAATTTTCAATGCTAGTCTTTTATTGCTCTATAATATTTGCAAAAGTGGGATATTTTACGATCAATGCTTTGTTTATGTGAATGTACTATGCATCATATAAAAATTACACCTAGCTGGTGTTTAGAGTTTTTACTTTGCAAAGCATGCATATATATATATATCTTAGTTTGTTACAAATGTTTTGTGGTTGGAATATATCTCTGGGGCTAAAATAATGTTTTTGGGATATCTGATTTACTATGTTTTAGGTATCTAGTACTTAAAGAGATTTGTTAATCCATAAACTGTATTTTGATTATATAATTTATGTAATTGGTATTTAATGAGTATAGGTGTTTTCTAGTTTTAGTGCCTTATACATTAGGATGACATTCATTGTTTGAAGTTCATATTATTATCATTATTTGATCCTGTACGGGACGGTATGCCGAAATTATACAAGTTGCTCTGTACTGATGATTGGGGATCCTCAATGATAAACGAATATCTTATATGTAAGCTAATAAGAGTGTTTGTAAGACAAGACTGGTCAGTGTACAACACATAGTGATGATTTTTAATATTCCTCTGGCCATTAAATTTTATTACATAAATATTAGCTTGTTTACTACTTTTTACAATTGCTCATTAAGTAAGTGTTATCTAATTGGCATTAGCACTACCAGATTATGTATTGCATTACAATCGATATTCTACAGTTTAAATTGATATTTCAATTAAAGGAGAGGTTATTAATCATTACATATCTTTTTATTAAATTCTTGTCTCAGATTTACACAAATATGTATGAAATTTATGTATATACTATGCAGTCAGCATTATTAATTTTTTTATACTTTGTTGAAACAGGTGATTAATTGTGTAGTCATTAGTTATATTCTTTCCAGGGCTCATTTACTAAGACTTACCTTTAGAAATATTGAGATTATAATGTGGTTAGTTAATGTTCTCATTATTCTATGTATATAATTTATTTGACTAATCCAATGGTTGTATGCATTTATGTACTATTCATGACAGAGTTAATTTATTCTATATTTTAAGTTCTTAATCGATTTTTTATCTGAGTTTTTGAAATGATTACTTTTGGTTTCTATTACAGGAATTTATAGTC